TTTTTTTTTATTATGTATTTATTTTTTTATTTTTTGTAGATTTTTCAGCAAAAGAAAAGGAAAGGCTGCACTAATTGTTACCTCAATTGTTTACATTTTTTTAATTTAGGTTTTAATAAATATTTATGCATAATAAATGTTCTTTTAGTTTCATCCATTTTCTGCATGTCTCTCATTTACTGTAATTACATGTATTATATCGGCCAGATTGATTTCTCAGTATCGGCATCGGCCATTAAAAATCCCATCAGTCGGCCACTAATCATTTATAAAACTATATCGATATATTGTACAAACTCAATATACTGCCCAGCCCTACCTTCAAGCTTATTTGTCATCATTTACTCATTGCATAGTTTATTAATAGCTATTTGCATTTGAATTTATTTAAACAAACATATTTTCAAAAAATGCAGTTGTTCAGATCAATCAGCGGAAATCTGTTCATTGTGAAAGCAATTAGATTTATTCACTTAAAAAGCATAAACATGGCTAAAATATGGCTAGCTGTGGAACAAGCAATATTCAATATTAAAATGTATGAGACTGAACTGAAATAACTGAAATTGGATTTATTGATGATAAATATATACACCTGGTTATTGTGTATTTAAAACGCGTTCAGTTTATTAGTACTGTTTCAGAAATCTGACCTGTTTAATTTATGAACGACTGACAAATATGCGTCACATTAAGTTTATTAGTTTATGTTAAACTGTATAATCCAAGTGGATGAAAATTGTATATGTAATTCAAATACATAAGTCGTCAATTAAACATGAAAAGACCTTTTAAATTCCAGTTCAACTGTTTTATTTGAATTGAGGTAGCAAAAAAGAATGCAGAATTTAATTAATTAAAATAAAAAGAAAATCAATTTTTTAACTAGAAAAGCACAGTTTGTCAGGACAAACTTTGAGTGTTTACTTGATGAAGCCTCGTTTAAAAGTTTCAAAATTAAAAAGCATTTTAAGTTTAAAAGATAGATAGATTTGAGATGTCATCTTATAGGGATGGGATGATATATCAGATTTCAAAATGTGATAAAATGTAATATATTGATCATAAATCATCAAAATCTCCTTGGTACAGTTTGGAAGCGGTAAATTAATTAGTTTTTATTTTTAGCAAACATTTTATTCATTTTTTTGAATTAAAATGTCTTTCCTGAAGCGTTGCTGGACAGATAGTCAGTAAGAACAGGAGAGGTACAATCAGCAGATCAGCAGATTGATTTCTCAGTATCGGCATCGGCCATTAAAAATCCCATCAGTCGGCCACTAATCATTTATAAAACTATATCGATATATTGTACAAACTCAATATACTGCCCAGCCCTACCTTCAAGCTTATTTGTCATAATTTACTCATTGCATAGTTTATTAATAGCTATTTGCATTTTAATTTATTTAAACAAACATATTTTCAAAAAATGCAGTTGTTCAGATCAATCAGCGGAAATCTGTTCATTGTGAAAGCAATTAGATTTATTCACTTAAAAAGTATAAACATGGCTAAAATATGGCTAGCTGTGGAACAAGCAATATTCAATATTAAAATGTATGAGACTGAACTGAAATAACTGAAATTGGATTTATCGATGATAAATGTATACACCTGGTTATTGTGTATTTAAAACGCGTTCAGTTTATTAGTACTGTTTCAGAAATCTGACCTGTTTAATTTATGAACGACTGACAAATATGCATCACATTAAGTTTATTAGTTTATGTTAAACTGTATAATCCAAGTGGATGAAAATTGTATATGTAATTCAAATACATAAGTCGTCAATTAAACATGAAAAGACCTTTTAAATTCCAGTTCAACTGTTTTATTTGAATTGAGGTAGCAAAAAAGAATGCAGAATTTAATTAATTAAAAGAAAAAGAAAATCAATTTTTTAACTAGAAAAGCACAGTTTGTCAGGACAAACTTTGAGTGTTTACTTGATGAAGCCTCGTTTAAAAGTTTCAAAATTAAAAAGCATTTTAAGTTTAAAAGATAGATAGATTTGAGATGTCATCTTATAGGGATGGGATGATACAGTATATCAGATTTCAAAATGTGATAAAATGTAATATATTGATCATAAATCATCAATCTCCTTGGTACAGCTTGGAAGCAGTAAATGCAGCATTTGTTGATGAGAGAGTTTTTATTTTTAACAAACATTTTATTCATTTTTTTAAATTAAAATGTCTTTCCTGAAGCGTTGCTGGACAGATAGTCAGTAAGAACAGGAGATATCAGATTTCAAAATGTGATAAAATGTAATATATTGATCATAAATCATCAAAATCTCCTTGGTACAGTTTGGAAGCGGTAAATTAATTAGTTTTTATTTTTAGCAAACATTTTATTCATTTTTTTGAATTAAAATGTCTTTCCTGAAGCGTTGCTGGACAGATAGTCAGTAAGAACAGGAGAGGTACAATCAGCAGATCATTATTGCAATCATAGACTCATTTAACCATGATTAAGCCTATTAAGCACAATTTCCACCAATACTAACACAGGAAATGTGCGAAACGTCGTTCCATCTGAATCTGCGCAAGGTTCTGTAGCAATAATCCTTAATAGCTCTTTATGAATGCCTGGTGATATTAGATTAGCTTGTGTTTGTCTTGTGGCAGCTCATGCCATAAAGCATTATGCGTGTTACGGTAATGAGAACAGATCTAAGCTGTCAGAAATAATAGTTCAACAATCACTTCTCATTGTTCATCACTCCAACACGGCTCGGGAATGTGATCTCAAATACCAGCTAATCCTCCTGTTTGCTTATCATGTCAACATTGTTACGTTGTGCCCATTTCTCAGCATTGTTTTGGCAGCGCTGACAGTCAGGGTTTCTCTTCCTTTCAGCTGCGATGACCCTGAAGTAGAGGATTATGGGAACAAATGGAGCATGAGCGCAATGCCTGAGATACTTGAGGCAAGAAGGCAAAGACACCACATGTGAGTAGAGCTTATGCAATCATATACTTTCATGTTTAGCACTCCGTGACGTTTGACATTCATAACCACTAATCTGCAGATATTCTCAAGCACAAAGCACTACAGAGTCATTTGTAGATTGACACGCTTGTTACTCCTGATGAACAACAGCTGCAGATTACAGATTACATCAGCAGCATTTCCTATTAAACTGTACTGTAGATCCACCACTGGCCACTGAGGTGTCATACTGGTCATCCACTACTCCTTTTCCATTTACTGATCGTGGACCGTGACCTGTGTCCTCCAAAAAAGTCAAAACAAAAAAACATAAAAGCTCATACAACTCGAACACTTGGTCTTCTGTATGGATAGGCCTGTCGCAATAATCAATATATCGACTGATCGTGCAATATATGTACATTACCTGGTGACGCAATATATCGCCCATTATATTTACTTAAATTAATGTCACCATGTTTTGTACATTCCACTTGTGCCTGTGTCTTTTTCAGCTTCTTGTAAATAACGTGGTGTAGTCATGAGGTGCTCGTTCAAATTTAAAAAAATGCTTCTAAAAAGTTTCATCTGCAGATATGGCCTTGTTTAGGGATGTGTGCCTTTGTGCATACAGACATCTGAGTGCTGAGCAGTGATTGTTTTTCAGCAATAGTGTGCACCCTTCATTTACAGAGAAAAGAAGGTCAGGGAAAAATCTGTAGATGGAAAAATCTCCATACAAGTTCTTTGTGCATTTTTCTTTTTTTCTATTTTGCACTTTTTGTTAGAGAACGTTTATTTGCTATTTATTCAGGTTTTTATAAGGTATCTAATATTTTGATACTCAATTTCCATAATCTAAATATTCTTAAAAATTAAATGTTTGTTGTCATTTGGAAGTGTGTTGTAGGCCTTCTTGCATTATTATGCGGTTACATTATGATTATATATTCAGTGGCATAAAATGGTCTTAAAATGACAATAATATCGTTTATCGCAATTATTTCTGGGGCAATATATCGCACAACAAAAAGTTGTTATTGTGACAGGCCTATGTATGGATTCTGCACACGGTTGAGATATGAGATGGGAGGAAAAATAATACCATGCATTCACCTGCAAAGCTTTTAATTCCCTCAGAAAAGTTGTGTGTTCCCCTGAGAAACTTTGCGTTTGCTTTCAAAGCGTTAAGCATTCTCTTGCAATGTATAAACTTTACACACAAATCTTTTTGCGTTCTTTTTGCATGCCCCCAAGAAACACTGTTTGCTGCATGCTCTTGAAAAAGCTTTGCATTTGCTTGCAAAACTGATGGAAATAATATAAGATGTGAAGAAAATGATATTTTATTGATTATGTGCTCACTTACGAAACTTTTTTTCTCTCAAAAATGTTTTGTTCCACCTGGAAACTTTGCGTTCTCTTGCAAAGTTTGATCTTTGCTTACAAAACCTTTTGCGCTTTCTTTTGCTTGCCCCCAAGAAACATTGTGTTTGCTCTCAAAATAGTTGCATTCTTGCAAAATGTTGTGAAACAATTAAAAACTAGTGATGGAAATAAAATGAGATGGGAGGAAAAATTACATTACAATGCTTATGCGTTCATTCACAAGAACTTTATGCTTTTATAAAAGTTTTGCATTCCCCTGAGAAACTTTGCATTTGAGTGCAAAACATTTAGTTTGGTTGCAAACCTGGTGATGGAAATAATGGGAGGAGCAACTAAATTTCAAATTTCTTGCTTTTGCAAGTGGTTGTGTTTTGCATGATAAAAAAGACTATTGCTGTTTAGAATGAATATAAATAAACCTTTATCAAGCTGGAATGATCAGCCGATGGGATCGTTTCTCCGTGTTTGTCAGTGCTCATGGGCCAGATTGAGGATCTGATCATTAAAGCTGTTCTGAGCGCTGAGATCCACATCGCCACAGCCTGCAAGATGTTGGTCCCTCATCACTGCAACTGCTTTGGTAAGACATGTTGCGAATCAGCTCATGGGGAAATATGAATAATTAATCATAACTAGTTATAATTAATTATAAATATTTAGATCTCTTTTCAGAATTCAACCGAACCACCGACTCTGGGCGGGTCACTGAATGTGAGGCCTTTAAAGTCTGCGAAGATTCACGCCTCTCAAAAGGGCTTGTCCAATGAGAAAGACGGAAATCCCGGGAGTTTGGAAATACCCGGGAGTTTTATGACTCTTTGTGTAGAAGCATGGTAATTTGCATATGGAACTTGAATCGAAATTACTAAAGATTCTCAGGACACTAATATATTGCCTATGTACCAACATATAATATACACTCGTTTAGATCATCAGAAGGCGAATTCATAGACACTAAACATGGTAGGATTACATATAGGTAAGATGACAGGAATGAGTGTTTCCATCATAAGCCTGCATAAAACAGTATAAAATCTCAAAGACAACATACACGGTGACTCGAAAGATATGTGTGTTCATTCAAAGAAAGGTTTTCCTATGGATTAATTAGAGAAAAGTCAATTTCTACTGTGCATTGTCTCTCTTCCTATAAAAAGGTAATGATTTTCCCTACTCACATTCCTGTGGGTCATAAAACCAGTGATATCAGCATTAGTTGCCATGGGGACCAGGGGGGCCTGGTGTCGTTGCAGACATCCTGGCACCCAGTTTATTGGGTGAGGGGACTGTGACGATTTGTTAATCTAATGAATAACTGATTTGTTAAATCAAATGACAAATTGTGTGTTTGATTGGTCCAGACGCTACAGACATGAGATATGATCTTATATATCTGTGCTGTTTTTCATGTTTTAAAAACAAACAAACAAAACAAGTGAAATTAGGCATCAAAACATTACTATATAAAAAAATAATGTTTTTTGAATTGGTAAAAATGAGCTCTGCAGTGATCAGCTAAATCGACATGGTCATTGGTCACTGATACATTGAGCATCCCTAAACATACATTAAGCTACATTATTTTATTGTGGGACCATTGTAACCCAAAAGTAAAGGCGGGTTTACAATATATAAAGTTTATTTTCTCATGATCAGCTAAATCGACATGGTCATTGGTCACTGATACATTGAGCATCCCTAAACATACATTATTTTATTGTGGGACCATTGTAACCCAAAAGTAAAGGCGGGTTTACAATATATAAAGTTTATTTTCTCTGTGTTGCATCCTGTAACAGTCTTCTGCAGTGTGTTTAACCAGAAGAATGCAGACTTTACTGTATGATAGACTGTTTATGGAGGTGAAAACAGAACAAAATCTGCTGCCAGAGCAGAACTGCAGAGATGCCCGTTTACAGTCCAAATGTTTCTCATTCTGAGCTGTTATGGGGTGTTAACTACCTGCATGAGGTCAAACACATTATCCTCCAGAGTAATCATTGACGTATTCGTTTCATCAGTGCTCTGATTTATGTTAGTTAATTAGCATATTGGTTTATTGAATTAAAAAAACAAAACAGACATGTTTATGCTTCTATAGTTGGCACTTGTGTGCCAAATCACCCTCCCAAAGGTGAACACAAATGTGTGTCATGTGACGTAACAAAGCAAGAATTTTACTTCTGTCAAAACTTTAAATCCTGGTCCAAAATGAACACTTGCCAAGAGGGAAACGTCTTTCTGAATTGCAAAATAATGCATGGTTTATGTTTTTTGTTCTTATTGAGCAAAACATTTAGAGCATTTTTATGGGCCACTTAAACAGCAACAATCCCTCCAGCGCCTCGTTCAGTGTTCACTGTACCATTCTTTACAAAGAGATTATTTAACAATATGACCGATTTAAACAGAAATAAATCAATTTAATTTCTAATGAATCCACTTAAATGATTAGTTGACCCAAAAATGAAAATGAGCTGTAAATGTGCTCACCCTCAGGCCATCCTAGATGTAGATGAGTTTGTTTCTTCATCAGGTTTGTAGAAATGTAGCATTGCATCAGTGTCTCGCTGCAAGTGAATGGGTGCCGTCAGAATGAGAGTCCAAACAGCTGATAAAAACATCACAATAATCCACAGCACTCCAGTCCATCAGTTAACATCTGGAGAAGACAAAAGCTGCGTGTTTGTAAGAAACAAATCCGTCACTTGGTGAGCAAGTGATGGAATGCTACATTTCTCCAAAATATATCCTTTATTTAATAACATGCATAATCAGCATAACAGTTAGAAAAATTATGAATTTAACAAAGTCCCAGTATTTGGGTTTGTTTAGTTCTAAAGGTCATTGAGCTTCAATGGAAGCAAGATTACAACATTTCTCATGATCGGTGACTCTTATTTACTTTTAATACATTGGATTAGTCATCTAGAAAAAAGAGCTGAAATTAAGATATTTCTTAGTTTATGTTGTTTTCATCTTTTTTTCCGTTTTGTTCATTTTGAACAATGGCAGACAGGCTGATGTTCAGGAAACTTTAACGATCATTGTTTTTGCAGTTCCATTTGGTAAAGATGGTGGCACAGATTGAATGTTCTTCTTGATCACAATTAAATCTGTTCATCACACAAAGAAATCGTTATGATCCTTATTGTTTTCAATAAGGATCATAACGATTTCTTTGTGTGATGAACATATTTAATTTAAGCTTTTATTCACATATCAACATTGATTAATGCACACATGTAGAGCACATTAAATATAAGCTCTATTGTAAATTACCAAGCTCACTGGCTCTAGAACGTCAAGCACTCATGTTTGATCTTCTGAAGCAGAGCCAGTGAAACCTACACAGAGTGCTCCTTTAAATCATTAAATCATATAAAAACATTTACTGAAATGAGTACTTGAAGCATATTACTTCATCAGAAAATCCCACTGAAGCATTATAGCTATACATTCGTGAGGCTTGGTCTGAAGATGATCTGAGCCAATTTTGGTGAAGATTGAAAAAAAAAACATTTTATTTATTTTTTTATTGTGAGCAGTAAATGTCAGACTCAGATGAAACATGCTTTCTGTAGTCGTGGTGCTGTAGATTCAGTAGCGGTGCATACGTCACTATCAGAGTTTTTCAGTAAGGTACTTCGTCCACATCGACAGAAGAATGCAAATGCTCAAGAACCGTTGAGTGGACGTCTAGAAGATCATTCGGTTCCTGTATTTTTGAAACCCTGTCAATTCTTAACCCTATTTTGCTTGTTTTCCTTGAATTTTGATATCCTGAATTTATCCATGTGACCGCAGAACCACTAAATTTTTTTCCCCCCTGCAATTACAGTAATGACCAAGATATTTGTTTTTCAAAGACTTTGTTCCAAAACCTAGTCAGCTGTCTAAGTCGTCATTTTAAGATGTGCTCATAGATGCTTCCACCCTGTTTTGATCAAAGCAGAGCAGGATCCCATGTATTCTTCATGGATAAGACAATCCTATATTGCACTGCAACAAGCTCAAAAGAAGAGAAAAATCCACAAAGTCGCATTTTTTTTATAGTAATCACTATGAACTCTTGTCACATGGAAAAGAGCTGTGTGAAGATCCTTCAGATTTAGTTTTTTAGTTGTTTTTGTGAAAAGCAACAACAGCATATGGATTTTCACCGTGATTTTCATATTTTTGGGTGAACTGTTCCTTTAATATTGGAAC